GGCCTGCAGCGGCAGTCGGGGAGGGCCTGCAGTGCTCCCGGCCCGCACCCCGCCGTCGGGGCCGCGCGGATCCCCGGCCGCCTTCCCCGGGGGTAAATCACCAATGAGTGGGGACCTGCACAGGTCCCGCAAAACCGGCTCCGAGGCGTGCTCCGGTGTGTGAAATTAAACAGGAATACGGGTGAGGTTTATATTACTGTATTTGGACCGTCAATAACTTAAAAATACAGCGAAAATGTACATTATTTTTACACGTTCCATTTGGTTTGTATTTGTTAGACATTCTCTTAGTGTCTAAAACAGCCAGGAGGGGACAGTGCAAAGACTGGTAGTGGGACAAAATGCTAATCGCTGGGATGGGGCTGGCAGGAGAAAGCGCAAACTAACAAACAGATGCGGCACAAAACCAACAGCGGCAAAGCTATTCCTTACTGCAACCTGGGATAAAGAACCCGAGATCTTACAGAAGTACAGTTAGAAATAGTAACCCTGAGGAACAAAACCAAACGAAACAACAACGTGTCACATTATAAAGAACTCAAATGGTTATTTACATTACAACTTCGAGATTAAACCCTTTTGCAGAACAAAGCCTAAGTCCTTATGCTAAAGAGATATCTAGTTCTCAGGTAGTTTTCAAAGGTACTAAAAATCAGAAGACTTTTTCATACCTCCAGACTACAAAACCTGGTATACAAAATTATGTCCAATCACTTTAAGGCTAATATACATTTAATGCAGGAAAACAACAGGCGGCATCTGAAACACAAGTATCTCAATGCTTAAAAACATTAAATTAGGATTCAACCAGAAAACAGCAACTAAGGGATCATTTCTCAAATAATTCCTAATCTGAGCAAAATTTTGAACACCATATCTGCAGCTATTTAAATAACATATTTACAGTTCAGCTGTTCCATGTACAATACAATTGCGCTGGTTTTTATTGTACAACCTCATTTTTCACCATTTGTTTACAATATACAAAATAGTATTCGATCCATTAAAAATACGTACAAAGAATTGCTTGTTGAAGACTACATGTACAATCCATCTACTGCATTTTTCTTTTTCTCTGTCAAACAAAAGTCCTAACTGGTATCACCATTTGCTTAGTAGAAATAGTGGCTAAGAAACACCTCGGTGTGATGAGATACTGTCGATTTAAGAGGCCTATGTGTGCTGGGACATACCATTCACTAAACTCCTAAGTTGCTTTACTACAGTCTCTATTAGCTTCTGCTTGTCACGGTCATTCTTCCTGAACTGAGCAAAAATGTTGTTCTTTTTGCTGGAGTCTTTCATTCTAGAGAAATAAAAAAGTAAATGACAAACACATTAGAAACACAAATTGAAAAGGAAAAATCAACTATTTTGATTGGTTTTATTAGTGTTCTTCTTTTGATCTTTCCGCTAATAAGAACTGGAAGATTACAAAACCTGTTCACTATGTGTTCTTAAATTAAACTTCTGCAATGTAGAATTCGTTTTATCAAATACTACTTCACAAATAACCTGTCAGTATTAAGCAAATCCCCCTTCAGCAGGACCCCGATCCTACCAATTGCCTTAGGAGGGAAGCAAGTCAGAAAACCCGTTAGTATCATCTGCTTCTACGGTAAATTCAGACTCGGCGAATGGGTGAGTTTTGTTCACCGTCACAAACGGGCATATATATTGCTGATTTCTCGTACCAACAGACACAACAACGAAATTCCGGAAATTAAGTGAGTTAGAGAAACAATATTTTGTAACAATATAGGCGATACGTACCCTCTGTGAACTCTGCAAAAGACATTTTCATCGCGGGCAGGAGAGGAGAGAAAACACTGTTAGAAAGCGTATTTAAACCGCAGCGCGCTTTGATGCGGTTTTTACAAGCAGGTTGGTAGCGGGCTGCCGGTAACGTGCCCTGCTCACCCTGCC